TGGTGACGGCTTCCCGAGACAGCACGGTGAAGGTGTGGGAGCCCGACTGGCAGATTCGAACGGTGTTTGTGGGCCACACAGGTACGTGGTGCCTCAGTGGCCCTCGAAGCCCCCCTCCCTCAACAACACTGCAGGCGGCTTGTCCCTCTCCCGGGAGCCACCAGTGCACTCCGGTGAAGCGCAAACTCCTGCAGGCCCGGTGACGGCTCTGGCCGTGCTCCCGAACACAGCCCTGGTGCTGTCAGCCTCACAAGATGGAACCTTGCGCACGTGGGACCTGCAAGCAGTGGCGCAGGTGGGCGAGGTGGCGTTGGGCTGCTGGGGCCTGAACATGTCGTCGTGCAGTGTAAACACCCTGCTGGCACCTGCCAGCCCTGGTTGGCCGGTGCTTTCCCTGAGCAATTGCAGCGTGGAGCTGTGGCGCATTCGTGAGCTCTACTCGCTGCTGGCACAGCTGCCAGCGCAGGTGCTACACCTGCAGGTGGTGCCCGCTCTGCCTGCACATCTGCATCCACTGCCCATGCGCCTCGTGTGCACGTGCGCCGACGGCTCCGTCGGCCTGGTGTCCGCCAACAGCGGGCGCGCGGTGACGGCGCTGCTGCTTGGGCCTGATGACTGTGCGGTGGCAGTGGCCTACTGCCTGCCGTGCGAGGTGCTGTGGCTGCTGACGCGCACTGGGCACCTGGTGCGTGCCAGCGCGGCGTTCTGCCCAATGCGAGTCCTGGATCGCGTGCCTCCGCCTGCGGCTCCCATGGGGCAGCCCTGCTGCCTCCACCTCTACAGTCACCTCACCGACTCCAGGAGCGCGCGCAACTCTTGGGAAGCCACACGCCACTGCCCGGCTGAACTGTACCGCGGCAACACAGCTAGGGCCCTGAAGGACAAGAACCGGTGGGCGCTGGAGCCAGCAAGGGCTGGGCATGCGGGCAGGGAAGTGGGCAGGTACCCATGCTCTGCCGGCCCCCCGCAGGTACCTGCCCGTGGTAGGACACACCGATGGTGCGCTATCGGTGCTCGAGTGGCACTCCACGCGGACTGTCTTCCACATAGAGGCGCACAGCCCAGGCCCTGTCACTGCCATCGCGTCCACCTGGAACTGCCTCGTGTCTTCCGGTGAGTTCTTCCCCAGCCCCTCCCAGTCACTGGCCCGGGCCCCACCCTCTCTAGGGCTCCAGCCCACTTGCGCTCCCATAGGCTGCGACCTGGTGGTGAAGATGTGGCGCGTCTTCCCCTACGCTGAGGAGAGCCTGAGCCTGCTGCGCACCTTCTCCTGCTGCCACCCGGTGGTGGCACTCTGCGTGTTTGGCAAGCACATCACTGTGGCCTTCGAGGCACCAGCTACTGCCACCTATGGCCTGGTGCAGTTAGGCACGGGTAACCACCCGCGCCATGACCACCAGCCCCAGGATGACCCCACAGACCACATCACCGGTAAGGAAGGGAACAGGCAAGGCTGAGGCCCCCGAGCCCGGTACTGCTCCGGTTTGACATCGAGGCTACCCCCCACCCAGGCCTGGTCTGCTGCCCTGCGCTCAAGCTCTTAGCGTCTGCCAGCCTTGACTGTACCATTCGCATCTGGACCACAGAGAATCGCCTGCTGCGGTGGGCAAGGCCTCAAGGGCCGGGTGGGATGAAGGCAGGACTGGGGAGATGGAGGCAGGGCAGGGCTAAAGACCTCCTTTGGCCTCTGCTATTCCTGCCCCCGCAGGAGCACAATGACTGGGCTGGAGGGAGAGGGTCTTGTCCCTGCTCCTGCCTCAGTTTCCAATCTGTGGAGCAGGGGCACGATTCTGACCCTGGGTCTCTTCCAGGCTCCTGAAGCTAAATGGCGCCCCCCAGGCCCTGACCTTCTGCAATGATAGTGGGGACCTGGTGCTGGCACTGGGTTCCCGCCTCGGCCTGGTGCCCCACAGGGTCTACCTGCCCACTTCCTACCTGGTCGAGGTACGGAGTGACACTGGTGGGCGGGGGACAGCATGGGGACACAGGCCTCTAAGCCAAGACCCCAGCCTGTACTCCCCTGCTCAGAAGCTGTGCCAGAAGGCCCCGGATTTTATAGATGACCCTCCACTGCCCCTGACCAGCCAGGAGTCACTGACCTCGGCCCAGCTGCAGAAACTCGCTAGCCTGCGTAGGTCAGCCTGCCTCAGGTTGGCTACCATCCCACCCAAGCCCCAGCAAGAGGGTTCAGGGCTCTTAGAGCCCTCAGAAATCATGCCAACCTGTCCTAGCCCTGGCATCCCCACTGCCAATGCCGGTTCTCAGCCCCGGCTCATCTCACCTATGCCCATCTGTCTGCAGTGGCACCAAGTCTTTCATCTACCAGTACCAGGCATCTCAGCAGCCAGTGGTGAAAGAGGTGAGCAGGCATCAGGGGCGGGGAGCCCATGCTCATCTGGGTCTGGCTAGCCCAGGACCTTGTTTAAGGGGAAAGAAATGTCAGCCGGCTGTCCCTTCCTCCTCCATCCCTCTTCCCTTCCCAGGACTTTGAATCCCTAAGTGCCAGAGACCAGGACCTGCAGAGGCTCAGGCAGGGGCTGGTAGTCCCAGCAGCCCATCCGCCAGCCTCTTCGCAGCTGCGCCAGGAAGCTTTTGACAACTATCTTCGTCTGATCTATGGCTCCAGCCTGGTGGGACGTGTCCCCGCCACCCCAGCCCTGCCACTTTCCACGCTGGTGCCTCCCTCTGCACCAGGCCGTCCAATGCCTATACCTGCCATCTCCCTCCCAGGGCATGGAAACCGGACGGGCGCTCTGTCAATGGGGCCCCATGGGGCTCCCTGTGGAGAAAGTGGCAGCCTGGGTCTCCAGTGACAGACATCCGGCACCAGCAGCACCCTCCCTGAAGGACTTGGCCCCCACCCCTCCAGTGGCTTTGCCCGTCTCTCTGAAGGCGCACAGCAGGACATCCCAGGTGAGGCCTTCCACCCTGTGCACATGGTGGCGCTGCCCCCCAGCTTTTCCCGCTCCACAGCTGCCCCAGTCTGCCCCCTGGGCTTGCAGTGGCAGTCAGAGTTCTTCCAGAAGGGGGCTAGCATGGCCAGGGAGGATTCAGGCCAGTGGGTGGCCTTTCCTTGGGGCAGAGCTGTGGGGCGCTGTAGTCCTTGCCCAACTCTGAGTCTCCCATCCCACTCCAGATCCGGCTGAAGAGGCGCCCCAAGGAGCTGCTCTGTAAACTCACCGGTTTCTTTCCTGCTACCCTTCAGCCCCCAGACCAGGTGTGTGCCCCTCCAGGCTCTCCCCAGGGGTAGGGGGGGCATCCAGCTTCCCCACCCCACTTTCCCTTTACTGTAAACCTGTCACATCTGACAAGCAGGCAAGCTGGGTCCCGCCCCTCCCATTTGGCCCTTGGACTTGGGGCAGCTGCCTCCAGACCTGAGCGGTAGGGAAGGGGCTCCCTACGCCAGCCTGCCCAGGAATATGTCAGGGGTGCGTCAGCCTGTGGACTCTCTGGTTGCCTGTTGGAGTAGAGCTGAGGGGACCGGCCCTCCCAGGTCCACCACTCTCCCACCCTCACCCATGCCAGGGGCCAAAAGTGGCTTGCACACTAGTTTCCAGAGGGTCTATGGGTCCCTGGCTACATGTGGAGGGTGACCAGGCCGTCTCCTGACACCTCACCCACTCCTGCTCTGCCCATCCCCACCCCCCCAGCCTGTGCTCCGGCCCATCCCTTTCCCTGGTTCCATCCCCAACTCGGTGGTGCTGCAGCACCTGTGGCTGCCAACAGAGATGGGCGGCCTCGGAGCATTAGCTCAGCTCTCTACCAGCCAGGGCACACTCAAGGCAAGAGGGGAGCTGGCTGGGGGTGGGGGCTGGAGGTAGGGCCTCCTCCCCTCCACCAGCCAGCCTGAGTTTTCTCTTTCCGCAGACCAGAGGGAGCCTGGAAAACGTGTGGCTGCGGGACACCAAAGGGTACCATGCCCCATGGCAGCAGATGCTGCTCGGCTGGCTAGGTGGGGAGGAAGAGGCACAGCTGGAAGAGACCGAGGAAGAGGAGGACACAGACATGGATGAGCTGTACTGGGCATCCACCCCAACCTCCCTGGGCTCCCAGAGGCCGCGTTCCAATGAGCTGTTCGAGCGCTTGGAGCTGCAGGCAGAGGTACCTTACTTAGGCTCCTGGAGGGCCACAGGAAGCCAGGCACAGTGTCCATAGCCAGGCAGGTGGGACCTGCAGTGCCCTGTTCCTCTCCTCCCAGAGCTTGGCCTTGATCTCGGACCTACAAGGCCCCAGCCACGTGGGCGTCTCGGAGGTCAGCGAGCCCTCACCCTGGGAAGAGCGCTGTGTGCATTTACCCAGGTTCCTGCATTACTTCCTGAGGCAGAATTGGTTCAAGAGGCTCTTCCCCGCCTTCACCCTGGAGGTGCGATGGTGTGCCCTAGGGAGGGAGGGTGTGGGGCCACCAGCCAGGACACCTGGGGTGGGGGTCGGAGAGGAGGGGTGGCAGGGCCTCAGCACCAGGTCCCACAGGCCTACCCTGAGATGGGCACCAGGGAGGGCCTGGCCTCACTGCTGGCCAGCCTGCTGAAGGAGGCCTCCTGGAGGGACGGTGTGGACATCCTGAACGCACTGCTGATACTGCTGCCGGACACGGGCTGCCACTTCCGTAAGAGGCTGAAGGACATCCTCCTGCACTTGCTCAACCAGGATCCGCCCCCTAGCCTCCAGGTGGGCAAAAGCAACCGCGCCACACCTCCTGTATCCCGCCCCCACCACGCGCCATCGTGCCCCCTGAGACTGCCCTGCCTCCTCTGAGCGCACAGGACCGGACACAGAAGCAGTTCGCAATGCTGTCGCTACAGCTGCTCCTGGCCTGCTCCCTTGAGATCCGGGACTTGGTGCTGGAGCTCCTTTCCTACGCCCTGTACTCCCCCGCCGCCTGCCAGTGAGTCTGAGGGTGCTGTCTCACCCTCCCTACCACGGCCCGCCTGCCCTCGGTCTAGGCCTGAGCTCCACCTCTACGACAGGCCCGAACTCAAGATGCTGCTGAGCCAGCTGGGCCTTCAGGACCCCAACTGCATCCTGTCCCAGATGATGACCTGGGTCCAGGGCTCGGAACACCACTCCAAGGCCTTGTTGCGCAAGCGCTGCAGCCAGAAGCTGGAGTGCATGATCCAGAAGCTGCAGGTGGGGGCGCCACTGGGGAGGCTGGCTTAGGGGTCGCTGGGCCTGCGGCCTTCCTGCGTGCATCTCTTGAGACCCTCCCAGAGGCTCACACGCCTCCTTCAGTGGAGCTGGGACTTGGGCTCAGGACAGACCCTGCAGGCAGGGGCCCTGTTGGGGGAGATCAGCCTCTTCCTCGGGGTGGTTCAGGCAGGGGCCTCAGGGAGCCCCAGCGCTTGTGACCCACTACCCCTCTCACTGGTGGGACCCTCCCTCACAGCCATTTCCAGACAGGTCGCCCGTGGAACCGGAACAGAGCCTCCCCAGGGCGAGCATATCGCAGGACCTTTCCTACTTCCATTTCTCTCGGTCTTTGCCTTCCTCTGTGCTGCTCCAGCACATCTCGAGGGTGCCCTTGACCCCAGGCTCCAAAGCGCGGCGGAGCCTGGGTCCTCAGGATTCAAGAGCCCAGGCGACCAAGGAGCAGCTGCAGGCCTGGCGGACCCGGCAGGCACTCTCCCGCTCACTGCAGGCCTTCGCTGGATCTCCGGCTGCGGCCATGCCCCAAGATCCGATGCTGCTGCCCGGGCATACAGACGCATTATACTGGCAGCAGCTGGACCTAGAGTCCATTGACGCGCTCAACTACTTCTGCGAGCAGCTGGAGCACTATGGAAGCGCCCTGCTGGAGGAGCCCGAGCTGCAGCTCCCGAGCCCGGCGCCCCTGAGGCCTCACACGCCCAACACGGTGGTGCGCCAGCCCCTGGACCGCTGGTGTGTGTGCACAAGGACAGACGTGCGGGGCGGAGCTGGGACATGGGGAGGGGCGAATAGGCAACTGAGCCCACCTCCTTTCCCCTCAGGTACCAACCCATCCGCCGGCTGCAGGAGTCCAGAGTCCCAGCGACTCGGGTGAACCTGAAGGGTGAGTGGGTAGAGGCGTGGCGATCGGGCCGCGGATCACTGAGCCCTGCGGCCCTTTCGTTGTGCCTCACTGCAGCCCCGTGCCCCTCCAGGCCGCAATCCGCCCGGGATCTGTGCAGGTGGCCCCCTGCGACTACTGAAGCTGCCCCTGCCGCGCGTGCAGCTGGGGCCCTTCCCTGCAGGCTGGCCCTCGCCGGCCCGCCCGCTGCCCCCACTCCTCCTGCAGCCGGCCCTGCAGCGGTACTTTCTGCCGGAGGAAGCAGACCCTGCCAGCCACCGATGACCCAAGACTCACACGGCCCTGGGGCCGATGGCGGCGTCTTGCTAAGGCTAGGGTAGGAATAAAGCCCACAGGCTCTGTCCACACACTGGATCCTGCTTCCACATGTGGGCGCGCCTGGGGTGGGGTGGGGGTGGGGGCACAAAAGGAGCCCTGGCAACACTGTGAGTTATGGTTAGGCTGCTAGCTCCAAAGTAGGAAGTTCAAAGCCACCAAATGCCCTGTAAAAGCAAAATGAGGTGTTCCGCTGCTTTAAGAACTTGCAGTCTGGAACCCCTACCTAAGGTGTGTGTTGGAAGTGATTAGATGGCTGGGGCTTGGGTTGGGTTTGTTGTGTGGGCAGGGCAGTGGGTTTTTGTGTTCTGAGCCAAATGGGGCCAACCGGGCGTGGAACATGTTATGGGTCATCTGGGATAGTGGGGCACTGTTCTTGTGAGGGTGGGGTCCCAAGTGTGGCCTGGAACTCAGAATGTACAAGTCAGTTACTGGGTGCCAAGCTTGGGTTGGCAGACGTGGGGCGGCCCTGTGGGCCAGGTGAATGGCTAGATAGGGAGGAGAGGGTCAGGCTGATGGGAGGGGTGGCCACGGAGTCTTACTGGGACCTGTGTTGTCTTGCGGATGAGTACACAGCAGTAAAAGGGGCACTGGTGCTGGATGGCGTCTGCCCGCTGACCTGACAGGGCAGCCTCAGGCGTCCCACGGCCCTTCTTTGTCTCCCGTGCCCTAACCGTCTCCGGCTGAGTTGGCTGAGCCGTGAGCTCCTGCCTGGCAGTGCCTCCAGCCTCCCCTCCAGAAGTCGCTTCCTGGTGACAACCAGGTTTAGAAGTCACCTTCCACACCTGCCGCGTGACGAGGCTTCTTCCTTGTGGGGCTTTCTTTTTTTGAGGACCAGAAGACCTGGCATTTATTTAAAAAAACAACAATGGGAATCACGAGCAGGGACATGGGGACACCAAGGTAAGTTGGCACAGATGGCCACAAAGACATGTTCCAGAGCAGTGGTTCTCAACCTTCCTGATGCCATGACCCTTTCATACAGTTCCTCATGTGGTGGTGACCCCACCCCCCCAGCCATAACATTATTTCAATTGCTACTTCATCACTGTCATTTGCTACTGTGGTGAAATGGGCGACCCCTGTGAAAGGGTCGTTCGCTCCCCATAGGGGTCACAACCCACAGGTTGAGAACCGCTGTTCTAGAGCCTATTTTGGTGAGTTGCCACGTAAAAGTTTGTGAGGCGTCATCTGAGGTGCACCCCTTGGTTTCAGCCTAACTGGAGGCAAGAATGGTGAACACTGGACAGTTAGTGGAATGGACGAATGGGCCCTGCAAACACCAGCCTCCATGACCCTGGGATCTGAAGGAGTACGGTGTGCCCAGCCCCCGTGAGCCGCTACACAGAAAGGAACCACATTCAAGGGACCACTGAATGGAGAGAGGAAAGGTGGGGCAAAACTCACCGTCAGAGACCAGGCATCGTGTCGGATCGGTGGGTCCCTGCACTATACGGCCCTTTGTCTCCATTCAGGCTGAGAGCTGAATTCACCTCGTGACTCAATTTTCAGCCAAACAATAGGTTTCTAAGGGGACAGTAACACTAGTGAGGCATGCCCACGGCAGAATCGTCAACCAAAAGATGAAGGCAGCAGAATTTGCCCCAGGACAAAGTTGAGAAGGGTTAGGAGAGAAAGGAGGCACTGGAGGCGGGGACACGGGAGGAGGTAGGATGAGTAGTGGCATACCTGAGCAGGTTGTAAGGCATGCGGTGAAGCAAAATGCATGAACTGCTGCATGTAAGAGAGGTGATCTGCTCTGTACACCTTCACCCAATTCACAACAAGACCAAGCTCACTGCCTCACAGTGGTCCTGTGGAACACGGAGTACTGCCCCTGGGTTTCCGAGAGTAGAACTCTACTGGAGTAGAGAGCCTCTTCTCTGGTTGATTCACACTGCTGACCTTATGGTTAGCAGCCCAAAGCCTAGCTCACTACACCATCAGGGCTCCCTCAACTTACAATAAAAAGTGCTTAAAAGAAAAATACATTAAAAGATTTACATAGGCTAAAATCAGAATGCTGAGTCCCATGATGGGGTCTCATTCTTTTCATTCTAAAACAATAGGTCCTTTTAAAATTACAAACATGAGAAAGTAGGGAACATTAAAAGGTCATTAGAAAGCACAAAGGAAAACAATCTATTAATGTATGCTAATATAGGTATTTCTTTTTTTTAATGTGATGAGGAATATATTTTCTTTTTTTAAAAATCATTTTATTAGGGGCTCATACAACCTATCACAGTCCATACACACATCAGTTGTGTAAAGCGCATTTGTACATTCCCTGCCCTCAGTTATTTCTTTACGCAATCTGCTCATCTCAATAGCCAGTGAGCAGCGTAAAGGCAAGCTGCAGAGTGGGAGAAGCATGTACCACTTAACCAAGCCCTCGTGAAGAGGTCACTGAAGACAGGTGCACTAGCAAAATGTGGTGAAGAATCCAGAAAGAATCGTGTCTGGGGTCGTAAAGGTTTGTCTTAAAACCCGAAGCCATAGTAAGTGAGGCGTGCACTAGTCCCCGTGGAAGCAGCACACTAGCCTGTGTGATCCCAGGACCGTAAGTGATATTATCCAAATACGAAGGAAGGAACGGTGTCAGTTTAGATTATGAACACCCAGTTTACAGCCAAAACTACATGGATGGTAGCGGAGCCCAAGACCCATTGGCAGGGCCCGCACAGATGAAGCATCCAGTGACCCCTCTGACCACAGTGGAGGGGCTGGAAGAACCTGCCATCAGACAGCAGTGCAAAGTCCATTGTGGCCAATGTTGTCAGGTCCCATGGAGTCAGTTCTGACTCATGGCAACCCTGTGCGCAATGGAATGAAACGCTACATAGTCAGACACCTTCCACACACTGTTCCTATCCTGGAGCCCATTGCTGCAGCCTCTGTGTCAGTCCTGCTTGAAGGCCTTCCTCTTCCCCCTGCCCCTCTGCTTTACCAAGCATGATGTCCATCTGCCGGGACTGATAGCACATGTGGGATGCAGACTCACCTTGCCTGATCCTAAGGAGCAATCCAGCCTCCGGCAGCCGCCGGCACGCTCCCTCTTCTTCTCCAGCTCCACGATCGATGCTCTCGGTCCTCCCAGCTCAGAGCCCAACCGTCAATCCCAAGTACGTGGCTTTGGTCAGGAGACACCTTGCTCTTCAGCACTTGAAAGAGGTCTCGCACAGCAGCTTTGCACAGCACAGTAGTTCTTTCCATCTCTTGAAAGCTGCTTCCACGAGCACTGACTGTGGATCCAAGTGAGATTAAATCCTTGACCACTTCAACCGTTTGTCAGAGTAACCAGCCTCTGACAATCATGGGGCGTCCGTAGGTGTAATTTTACAGCGGATAATATATAAAGAGCATAGTAAAAGAGAAGATAAGAGAGAAGGTAAAATAAAGGAGTCAGACACATCTCATGGCAGGATGCTCACCTCAGCCCCTCTTGGTGGTCCACATGGAGTTGGGAGACAGGAGGAGAAAGAGTGTATTTCTAACGAAGGCTTAGATATATTTAGGGGCATGAAAGTCCCCCTGATTACAGGTAACCACGTATGTCACAGGAAGGGGTTGTAGCATAGGCAATAAAGTAATGGGAGGGAGATGATCTAGGGGTATACACACAATAGGAAGAGAAGGGATTTAAGGGTACACATGTGACAAGTTGGGCGGATTCTAGATTCAAGATGGCAGCCTAACCTTAGTTGTCTGTGAGTGGGCTTGACCTTGCCTCTGGGCTCTCCAGGGAATCAATCACTATCCTTTATCAGAAGGATATAAGCCCCACCTACTGTGAACAGACAGTCGTCTGATTGCTCTGGATGGCCGGTGCCTTCAGGGAGAAACTTCTGAGCATTTGACTACACAGTGAGCTAGCAAGCAGGAAACAACCTGGGGAAAATCTGTTCGTCTCCGCGGCCTTTTCTCCATTATCATGAGGGTACCATTGGTCCAGTTATGAGAATTTTGGCCTTCAGTATGTGATCCATACTCACGGGTACAATCCTTCATTTTCTTCAGCAAGTGCTTCAACTCCTTCCCACGTTCAGCCAGAAAGGTTGGTCATCTGCATATTGCAGGTAGTTAATAAGCCTTCCTCCAATCCTGATTCCATGCCACATTCTGCTTCATATACTCCAGCTTCTCTGATCTTTGCTCAGCATTCAGATTGAATAATTATGGTGAGAGGATACAACCCTGCCCCCCCCACCCCCAACTCCTTTCCTGATTTTAAATCATGCAGTGTCCCTTGTTATGTTCACCCAACTGCCTCTTGATCCCTGTACAAGTTTTGCAGAAGCACAATAACGTATTGTGGAATTCCATTCTTCTCAAGGTTATCCATAGTTTGTTATGATCCACACAGTCGAATGCCTTGGCATAGTCAACAAAACACAAGGAAACGTCTTTCTGGTGTTCTCTGCCTCCAGCCCGGTCCTCTGCCGTCAGCAATGATGCCCCTTGTTCCACGTCCTCTTCTGAATCCAGTCTGAACCGTTGGCAGCTCCCTGTCAGTGCACTGTTGCCATAGTTGTTGGAAGGCCTTCAGCAAAATGGTACTTGCATGTGCTATCAGTGACATTGTATGTAACTTGGACATTCTGTTGGGTCACCTTTCTTTGGCAAGGTTACAAACATGAAGGCTTTTCAGTCGGCCAATTAGCTGTCTTCCAGATGTCCTGGCATAGACGAGTAAGTGTATCCGGTGCTTCATCGGCCTGCAGAAACGCTTCCATTGCTAGTCCATCAGTGCCTGGAGCCTTGTTTTTGGCTAAGGCTTTCGGTGCATCTTGGAGTTTTTCCTTCAGCACCGTCGGTTCTTGCTCACATGCTAACTCCTGAAATAGTGGGATGTCGACCAGTTCCTTATTCCCATCTTTTTGTTTTTTTGATGCTTCCTGCATCATTCACTGTCTTGCCTATAGAAGCAGTTCTCAACCTGTGGGTCGTGACCACTTTGGGGGGTCGAATGACCCTTTCACACGGGTTGCCTAAGACCATCAGAAAACATAAATATTTCACAATATATAATTACATATTGTTTTGTGATTAATCACTATGCTTGAAGGTAAGAGACTTGAAGGTAAACAAGTGGCCATCTAGCTGAGAAGCAACAAAGCCCACATGGAAGAAGCACAACAGCCTGTGTGATCACGAGGTGTTGAAGGAATCGGGTATTAGGATCAAAGAACAAAAAAGCATACCATTGTGAATTAGGGGGAGTGCAGAGTGGAGATTCAAAGCCCATCTGTAGGCAATTGGACATCCCCTTACGGAAGGGTCTTGGGGAGGAGACGAGCCAGTCAGGGTGCAGTGTAGTATGAAACATACAACTTTCCTCTAGTTCCTAAATCCCCCCCACCCCACTCCCCACCCCATTATCATGATCCCAATTCTACCTTACAAATCTGGCTAGACCAGAGGATGTACACTGGTACAGATAGGAACTGGAAACATGGGAATCCAGGACAGATGATCCCTTCAGGACCAATGGTGAGAGTAGGGATACCGGGAGGGTGGAGGGAGGATGGGGTAGAGAGGGGGAACTGATGATAAGGATCTACATATAACCTCCTCCCTGGGGGATGGACAACAGAAAAGTGAGTGAAGGGAGACGTCAGACAATGTAAGATATGACAAAATAATAATTTATAAATTCTCAAGGGTTTGTGAGGGAGGGGGCAAAATGAGGAGCTAATGCTAGGGGCTTAAGTGGAGAGCAAATGTTTTGAGAATGATGAGGGCAATGAATGTACAAATGTGCTTTACATAATTGATGTATGTATGGATTGTGATAAGAGTTGATGAGCCCCTAATAAAATTATTAAAAAGCAAACAAACAAACATAGATTCAGGAATGAGTTTGGGGCTCACACTAAATCCTAGCTCCAACATAAGAACTGTTAGTTCTTACATCATAGCCCTGCTCAATATTCACCCTCAGGAAGGGAACACAGAAGATATGGGTGCTATAGCAAAATGTGGCAAGGAAATTAGATAATGCCAGGTATCAGATAAAATAACATCTGGGGTCTTAAAGGCTTGTATCCCAATAAGCAGCCATTTAAGTGAGATGTCAACTAAGTCCATATGGAAGAAGCACACCACCATCAGTTACTGAAGGATTATAAATTATATCATCTGAAGTCGAAGGAGGGAGTAGTATTAGAGCCTAAATTGTGAGAATCCGATTTTCAGTAGGCTATGGATAATAGTGGGAGCCCAAAATTCATCTGTGGGAACTACACAGGAAATAAGCCTGTGATGAACTCCCTCTATCCACAATGGATGGGAGGAAGGTGGTTACTAACAGAGGGCACTGGAGAGATGAGTGTAGAAGATCAAAGGCATAAATCCGACGTGAACAGTTCAAACCCCATCAGCTGACCCCCCTCTGATGCAGGCTGGACCTGATCTGGTTTTCAACATTTTCTGTATTTTTGTTTTGGTTTTGTTCATATTAGGCTGTATCTCAGAGGTGTTATGTCATTGGAGGTCACCCTCTTGAAGTTGTTGTGTTACATGTGTTACATGGACTTTTATGTTTGGTAGATGAAACCCAGGATTGATGAACCTATAGGGACTGCAAGTAGAATAAGGGTTTTGGGGTGGAGGTGGGGATACAGGAGTAGTGGGAGGGGGTAAAAGGGAGGTGGTATCAAGGAGTCCAGGAAGAAAAAGAATGTTTGGAAACTGAGTGTAGTGGCAATTATACAATTCTGCTTGACGTGATTGATCTTTGGAATGATATATTTGTATTAACTCCCAATCAATTTAAAAAAAGAGGTACTGGGAGGGGGAAGGGAGGAGGGAGGGGAAATAATGAGGAGCTGATACCAAGGGCTCAAGTAGAAAGCAAATGTTTTGAGAATGATGATGGCAACAAATGTACAAATGTGCTTGACACAATGGATGGCTAGATGGATTGTGATAACTGTACGAGCCCCCAATAAAATGATCTAAAAGAGAGAGAGAGAGGTACTTGCTATGAAGAAGTGATTGGTCTTGCAAAGTTCTATCATGTGCTCACCAGTTTCATTTCTATCACCAAGTCCGTATTTCCCAACTACTGCTCCTTCCTCTGTTTCCAAGTTTTGCATTCAGATTGCCAATAATTAACAATGCACCTTGATTGGATGTTTGATCAATTCCAGACCTAAGTCATTAGTAGAATTCTTCAATTTCTTTATCACTAGCTTTTGCGGTTGGTGCATACATTTGAGTAAGATTCGTATTGATTAGATATCCTGGAAGACAGATATGTAATTATATATTTATATTAAATGCTATATTATAGATAATATATAAACATGTATTTGTAGTGTCCGTGCATATATAATTTATATTATATAAAAATATATAATAGGTCAATATAATCCAATCACAGACAGTATTGTGTTTCAAGATAGAGATCTTGAAATGTCCTTTGTGACAATGAGAGCGATGCCATCCCTCTTGATTGCCATTCTGGCATAGAAAGCCAGATGAGTTTCTCGTTCAAAATGACCAGTACCAGTCCATTCCAGTTCACTAGCCCCCAAGATAGGCATCACTGGGCATTCCGTTTCATTGTTGATGACTTTCAATTTTCCCAAATTCATACTTTGCACATTCCAGATTCTGATCATTACATTTTTGCAGTCGCTTCTTCTCAGCCCGCGCTGTGCTCCATCAGCAAGCGACGCTCTTGGAGGGCCCACTCCCACCGGCTTCGCTGCACCCACGCGCCAGGGCCGACTCCTCCCCACCCCGCCCCGCCCCCAAGCCGCCCCTCCTCCGCAGCCGCGTGTGGAGTAGGGGCCCATCCTTCAGCACTCTCTCCAACAATGTTCTGCTTCCAGGCCTTCAGTATCCAACAGTGTTTCGAAACTATGCACAAGGCTCTCAGTGGTTAATTCCTCCAAAGTGGACAACCCACTCCTCCTTCTCAATCTGGAAGCTTAGCTGCAGTCTGTTTACTTTGGGTGACCTTGCTGGCATTTAAGATACCAGTACCCTAGCTTCCAGCATCACAGCAGTACACAAGCCCCCACAGTCTGACAAAATGACAGGCAAGTGGCAGACAGAGTTAGGTTAAAATGTAACACCTTATCATTTGATCTCTTTTTGAACCAACTTAAAGTTGTTTCCGTTTTTATTATTTTCTGCTTCCTCTTTGTCAGGCTTTCTGTTTTGCCTCGTCACTGTTGTTGTTGTTTTTGCGTCCTTCCTGTTGGTTTCATATGATTTTCTGGATAGGTAGATCTATAGAGACAGGAACTGGATTGATAAGTGCCTAGGGCCTGGTATAGGAGGAGGGGGAGGGGCAAACGGGGAGCTAAGCACAATGAGCACACAAAGACAATGTTCTCAGTTGACTGTGGTGATGACTGCACAAAGCTTCTTAACATGACTGAACAATTCAGTTATATATGTGAATACATGCCAACAAAAGTACTTTGATCAAATCTAACTGGTGCTTGCTTCGGCAGACAATCACTGAAATTGGGAAGGTACAGAGATTAGCATGGCCCCTGTGCAAGGACGACACGCAAATTCGTGAAGCGTTCCGTATTTTAAAAAAAAAAATCAATACTGACCTGGCAGGGGAGATAACATGATCACGAAGGTGGTTTTCCCAGGGCGAGGCTTATCCATTGCACTCCGGATGTGCTGACCCCTGCGATTTCCCAAATGGGGGAAACTCGGCTGCTTCCTTTGTGGTCGTGGGAACTGCGCCCGTGCTCTCCTGAAAAAAAATCAAACTTAACTGAAAATGGCTCATCTCTAGGAAATACAAGAATTACAAATAAACAACAAAAATTGGATAACCCAACAGAAAAAAAATGTACAAAAAGCTAGAATGGGAACTTCATGAAATAATTAGTCAAAAGAGCATATGTTTGTGGTAAGGGGGTGGCCAAGAGTAGAAATCCCGTCTGTGACAACTGTCTTTGTTTTAAGTGTATACACAACGCACACACAGAGTAAAGACCATATTGCTAGTGAGACTCGAGTTCACACATGCAAAATGTGTTTGTACTCGACTCTGTGACCCATGGGGGCTGCACTTTACAAGTTCTCTCAGCCGTGCACTTGTCGAAGTCTCCTGCGGCCGTCAATCACTTCTGGCTCATCGGGACACTCCAGGACAGGGTAGAGCTGTCCCTGTGGGTTTCTGAGACAAACTCTTTCTAATTATAGAAAACCTCTTTTTTCTTCCAAGGTGTGGCTGGTGGCTTCCAACTTCTGACCTTGTGGTTGGCAGTCCAGTGTTTATTCAGGGCTCCTTTAGCCTTCTTGTGTGTGTGTGGGGGGGGGGTGTTACTTAAAAAAAAGGGCTACAGTGAAGGCAGTGGGTTCCATGAGGGATCTGCTGAGCCAGTTGAATTCAAAGCAGAGAGGGTGAATGTGCTTAGGGATTCCCAAGGGGTAATCTTGATAGATTTTCTTGGACACCGGATGGTCATACGGGCTTATTAGGAAGAAGTTTTAAGAAAATGGAAAATTGCACTGGTAAGTTTTCCATCCCTCCCTTATGTATAGCTGCACAGTCTCTGAGGGTGACAGGGGCTTTCTGGGATCATTTCTTTGGGAAACCTTATCCCATCCACACTTTAGCCCTGATCTTGCCCCTTTAAACTTCTTTTTGTTTCCAAAAATTCCAAAAACATTGAAAAGGAACTTTAGTCTGCATTCCTGAAGAAGTCCAGAATGGCCATTTTGATGTGGTGTGAGTCGAAGAACACAGAAATCTTTGTGGAGAAGGCTAGCGAGGTAGAAACACCACCTTCAGAATTGTACAGGCCTAGAATTTATCACACCTGCATTCAGAGAACATCTCAAGAACACTAATGACCAAAGACCATACATGTTGTGGGATGACATCAAGAATACTTTAAAAAAAAAGGTAATAAAAAGACAGGACAGAAAGAAAAAAGTAGATGTCAAAAGAGACTTTGTTTTTTTTGTTTTTTTTTTCAAAAGAGACTTTGAAACTTGCTCTTGAACTTAGAGTAGCTAAAGCAATGAGTAAAAGAGTAAACTAAAAAAAAAAGTGTAGATGTCAAAAGAGACTTTGTTTTTTTTTTTTTTTTTTTCAAAAGAGACTTTGAAACTTGCTCTTGAACTTAGAGTAGCTAAAGCAATGAGTAAAAGAGTAAACTAAAAAAAAAAGTGTACAGTCCCCGGTGGAGGATGAGCTGACAGGAAATAGCCTCACATTTTTTATATTTGTGTTTCAGAAAGGTTTGTAGGTAGCAATACTTTTTCACTGACCTTTGTATGTCTGAAAAGCTATTCAATCCTTTTAGTAATTAGAAATAAGCAAGAATTTGCTGTTGTTAGGTGTCCCTGGTCCTGACCTGGGTGACCCTGTGTACGACAGAAGGAAACACTGCCCACTCCTGCAGGATCCTCACAATTGTTCTGTGTGAGCCACTGTTTCCACCACTGTGTCAGTCCATCTCCTCAAAGGTCTGCCTCTTTTTCCTGCCCCTCCACTTTACCAAGTATGATGCTCTGTCCCAGGGACTGGTCTCTCCTGGTGACATGGGCAAAGTGTGTCGGAATCACTGCCACCCTCGCTTCTGAGGGGCTTCCTGGGTGTGCTGCTTTCAAGAAAGAGATATTTGTTCTTTCAATAGTTCGTGGCACTTCCAATATTATCCACCAGCACACGAGTTCAAATGCATCAATTCTTCTTTGGGCTTCCTTATTCAACGTCCAACTTTCAAATGCATCTGAAGACATTAAAACTGCCATGGCTTAGGCCAGGCACCCCTAGTCTTCAGAGCGATGTGCTTGCTCCTCGGTACTTCAAAGCAGCCTCGTGCAGCAGCTTACTCGTGCAATGCATCACTTGCTTTCTTGACGGCTGCTCCCAGGAGCACTGACTGTGGACCCAAGTCAGCTAAAACCCTCCACAACCCCAACCCTTTCTCCATCGATCACAAGGTTCCCTGTAGTTCCACTTGTGAGGATTTGGGTTTTCTGTTTTTCATTTTCCATTCAGACTTTCTCAAAACATTTACTGGGAATTGTCTACGTCTAAGAATTACAACACTTCAAATATAAACCCTATTGCCACACAGCTTATACAGCGGTGGTATTATTTTCAAATTACATTGACCTTTCAGAGGCTTTTGCTAAAAATAGCTGACACTATATATATAAATTCTTTGGATTAGAATAATTTCACGGATTTTTCTCTCCCTAATGTTATTCTTTTGTTGTTGTTTTGTATTATAATCTTTTATTTTTAAATCAAATGATAAAACCTGCAAATGGATTTGTTAAAATTTAAGTAATCCTATCCCCAATATTATTCTGCGGAGCCCTGGTGGTGCAGTAGTTATGTGTTGGGCTATCCACATGGTTGGCAGTTCAATACCACCAGCAGCTTCATGGGATAAAGACTAGGCTTTCTTTTCCTGTAAACAGTCTCAGAAACCCACAGTGGGTTGCTATCAGTCAGTATTGATTCGTTAGTAGTGAGTTTTGAGTTAATGCTACTCCATTAAGGTTTTTAAAAAGTTGATTGGAAAAAAAACCTAAGGAAAAAAAAGTGTATTAGTTTTATTGACATATATTCACATAACACACACCCCAATAGTTCAATCATTGAAATCCATACTGAAGACTACAATCCTTTTTTTTTTTTAGGCACCAAATTTTTTATTATTAGCCCACCTTCCTGCCCTCTTTTAACACATTGTAAACAAAATTAACCTTTTTTGACCCAGAGTTGTGACAGGAGCCAGCATATTACCAATGTAGGGGCAGACTGACACCTCTTCTCATGTTTTTTTTCTGGTCCCTCC